TTGAACCAACCAAGATTGATGAAGCTTTAGGCGACGACCAATGGATTGTAGCGATGCAAGAAGAACTCAACCAATTCGAAAGGAATCAAGTTTGGAGTCTTGTACCAAGACCGGACCACAAGCACATCATAGGGACAAGATGGATGTTCAAGAACAAACTTGACGAGAATGGGATCATAGTTCGTAATAAAGCAATATTGGTCGCACAAGGCTACAACCAGGAGGAGGGAATTGATTTTGATGAAACGTTCGCTCCCGTAGCAAGGTTAGAAGCAATTAGATTATTACTTGCTTATGCTTGTTCTATGAATTTTCAGTTGTTCCATATGGATGTCAAAAGCGCTTTCCTGAATGGATATATCAATGAAGAAGTCTACGTCAAACAACCTCCGGGTTTTGAAGACTTCAAGAATCCCTCGCATGTTTACAAACTGGAAAAGGCACTCTACGGACTAAAACAAGCACCGAGAGCATGGTATGACCGCCTTAGCAATTTCTTGTGTGAAAAGGGATTTACAAAAGGAAAGGTTGACAAGACACCGTTCATAAAGAAGATCAAGGGTAACACCTTATTGGTTCAAGTCTATGTCGACGACATCATCTTTGGATCAATAAACAAAGAGCTTTGCGAAGAATTTTCACTTATGATGCAAGGAGAATTCGAGATGTCCATGATGGGAAAGTTGAACTATTTTCTTGGACTACAAATCAAGCAAACAAAGGATGGCATCTTCCTCAACCAATCCAAGTACTGCAAGGAATTGTTAAAGAAATTCGATATGGATAGTTGCAAGGTGATGTCCACTCCTATGGGATCCGGAACGTACGTTGATCAAGATGAATGTGGTACTCCAATTGATATTACAAAATATCGAGGTATGATCGGTTCATTATTATATTTGACGGTAAGTCATCCTGACATTATGTTTAGCGTTTGTTTGTGTGCACGCTTTCAAGCAAGTCCGAAGGAAGGTGATATCTGATCTTTTCTCTGGTTTATGTATGCATGTTGTATGTTTTCCAATGTTTGTGCATTCTGTTTTTAGCAATTTTCCAAAATTCGCGTTTGTTAATCGATTAACCTATAGGGTTAACCGATTAACACTGTTAATTTTTTCAATTCTGACTTAATTTTTTAATGTGTTAACCGATTAACCTATAGGGTTAACCGATTAACACTGATAGTTTTATTTTAGAAATTAAATTCTTTAATGTGTTAACCGATTAACCTATATGGTTAACCGATCAACACTGTTAAATTTTTCAAAAATCAAAAACGAAAAATTAATTAAAATTTTGGAAAATTAAGTGTGTTAAATGTGTTATTTATGTGTGGTTAATATTTCCTTGAACATCCAAATCACTATCCAAAGAATTCTTCTTCTTCTTCTTTGACTACACTTTTGGACTTCCCACCAACATTAAAACCCATTCACATAACTCTCCATATATTTTTTGCCCTCACATTGTCCTCTTCTCCATCTGTGAAAACCTTAACTCATCCAAGAACCCAGAACCCTCATAATCTCTCAAACTTCATCCATGGCATCTTCTCACAAAGGAAAGGGAAAGTTACCGGAATATGACTCTGCTTCAGATGGAGACAGCATTCCTATGGAGACAACCAAGAAACGCCGGATGGATTTCAAGGTTCGTGTCCGTGATATTCTGCCGGTAAAGTACGTAAACCTTAAGGCTTTTCCTGCTTCATCCTTTGATTTTCCTGCTCTGCTCAAATATTAGAAGATAGATAAGTTTTCCTCTAATTCTGGAAATTGTTATCATGATTTGGTTAAAGCATTTTTGAATAAGTTATCCGTGTATTTGAATGCTGACGATGAGCACATTATGGAAACCACTATTCGAGATTGCTTCTTGAAAGAGAATCTGACAGATATTGCTGCAAAGTTGAAAATTCCATCCTCTGGCTACTTTCTCCGGAAAGGAGTTAACCACGTGGAAGGACCGTGGTCTAACTATGACAAAATGGAATACTATTATCAGATATGCAGGTTTCCAAAGGAGAATGTTGTAGCAAATCAACGAACGGCTCGCATGCTCTGTTATGCGAAAAATCTGACGGTTTCGGACCGGATGTTACACTACATAATCTGCTATGTGCTAATTCCGAAGGATTCGAATCATGCTCAGATCAATGACCTGGAAATGCAGCTTATTTTCGCAATCAAAAACAGGATAAGGGTAAATTGGATTTTGACAATCATGTATCATCTTCAACAACAGCTTTCTCTGTCGACACGTCTTCCTTATGCCAGGTTGGTTTCAAGAATCCTTGAGTTGACAGATTTGGACCTTAACAGGGAACCATTCACCAAGATGAAACCAACAACCAATGAGATAAATGAGATCACCATTATTAAGAACACTGGTATTATCAAAGACGTTGACGACATTTATAAGTATGCAGGCGAAGGATCCGCCTCTAACCAAGCCTATCCCATTCCCTAAGGGGGTATTACAAATGAATTTCTCTATACTACCATGATGACCCAACATCAGGAATCTATGAACTGTCACCTAGAAACCTCCAGGGCAATTGCTTCACTTTGAAACCTCATCCTTACCGCTCATCCTTCCAACCCAGGAACTATTGAAGAAGAAGAGGCAGATGATGAAGGTAGTGAAGAGGAAGAAGCAGAAGACGTGGATATGTCCGATGAAGATGTTTAAGAAATATTTGTTTATGTTGCTTTTATTGTTTTTCTTTCCGAATATTGTTTAAGTTTTTAAGTTGTAACTGTACACTATTTGTTGCACTTTTTTATGATCTATTTTGTTGTGCTTGATTATATGATGTCTTGTATGCCGATATTGCTTTTGTTTGTTTTAAAAGCTCCTTCCTTTTTGTTAATGACAAAGGGGGAGAAGAGCTTGCTGTCTAATATCTCTCTGTGCAGAATTTTTGCCTCTGTTTAGATAGGGGGAGTTGCTGGACATAAGGGGAGAAACAAGAAGCAAGCCTAGATCAAACATCGTCAAAAGATATCGCACAAGATGTACTTGTTTGTCATCATAAAAAAGGGGGAGAATGTAAAAGCACATTTCAATCTCAAGGTTTTGATGATGTCAACAAAGACTCAAGCTCATTCCATGATTGCAAGCAAAAAGTCAAAGCTTTCAAAATTGATCAAGATCAAGATTTTTTTACTATATACCCGTGGGGGTATATGTACTATGAAGTTGCTTGCACTATATACCCGTGGGGGTATATACACTGAAAATAAAACCAGAAGCATCATGTGCAAATGTTCATTCAACTTTCAAGATTTGGACTCAAGCTTCGGTATATCAATATTCTCTCCTTTAATTGATATACAAGTGTTCAAATATTTTAACATGATAACATATTGCATTTGCATGGTTTTAAATTCATTTGAATTGGTATAACACTTTTTAACTCAAGCATTTTTCTGAGTTTTAACAGTGTTAATCGATTAACCATATGGGTTAATCGGTTAACGGCCTTAATTTTTAAATTCTTTGGACCAACGTTCAAGTGTTAACCGATTAACCTATAGGGTTAACCGATTAACACTGAACGAATTTTGAAAAATTGTTGCTGTTAAAATTCAAATGGTGTTTGAATATTATACCTTTTCATGTTTTGAATCATACTCAATTATACCTTTTTGAAATGGTGTTTTGCTCATATAAATTCTGAAAATTTCAAATTGAAAAACAACCCTCCAATAATTTTCAAAATATTCATTGAATCAAATTCACTACTTTTCAAATATTTTCAAAAAATATTCATATTGTTCATACAATTTCATATCCAGATTTTTGAACACTTGTGTTGATATTGAAGAGTGGATTTTGATCAAAAGGAGAAGATCAATCATTAGATTGATATTATCATTGTATCACTTTCAAATTACAAAAATACAAAATTATTGCTATTGTGACTTGTGATCCAGGATTGTTGGACACAAGAGTTAGTGTTCGTAAGAGGATTGTTCTTGCACACTAGTTGTTGATTAGTTGTTAGATTGTAGGCCTCACCGGTTGATGGTGTGATAGGTTGTACATTCTAAAACTATAGTGAAAACTCTCTTTCATGTGGAAAGGGGAGTGGTGGAGTACCTTCGGATTGTGAAGGAAACCACTATAAATCTCCGTGTTAATTTTTCTTTCTGCATTTACTGCTTTCATCACCAAGAACTTAAAGAAGAAAAATTCAAGAATATCGAAAAACCGGAAAAAGTATCTAAAGCCTAAAACAACTTGTAGAATGAGAGGTGTCTCCCTGTTATTCACACTTTAATAGTCACCACAAACACACTATACCACCGTAATTTATTGAACGTAACAATAATTCAAAACATGCACTTTCTGTGACTAAATTAAATTTGATGAATAAATGTTGCGTGTCAGCGTGTTGTCCTTGAATTTCATGATAGAAGCAAACAACACAAGCATTACTATATTCAACAAATTATTATTTATTTGTATTGACCGCAATACTTAACTAATCATGTTAACAATAATTTCAAGATTAAACATAGCTTAAATTTTTTAAATTGTAATCATTAAAACAAATAATGTATTAAGTTGATTGCAATTATTAAGAAAATCAACTCAATAAAATAGATTAACAATCAAAATAGCATGATCAAACTTCTGACCAACATCCTCGACAAAAATTTATGTATAACCTACTATCGACAATGCTCTAAATACAAACCTAAGTCACAACTAATACGAGTAGAAGGCCCAACTATCTGTGTCAACAATATGTTTACATTTGTGTGAAAAATAGTATATGACAAATAAATATTTTGAATTCGAAGAGACTACATACACATGTATAATGAATGGAGTAAAGTTGATTGATTTTGTTAAGTACATTCTTTCCTTTCAAAGGAGACAAATTTGAATATTTGGTTCAAGTGTTTCTCTTATGTTCATAATCACAAAAATAATGAATTATGGATAGGAATATTAACATTGTTGTGTGATTATGTGTTACCAATTAGTAACTATGCACCACCCTGTTTGGCGACCCATGGTTTGATGATAGAAACAACACTGATTATAACAATAATGAGAAGTATCATGATGCCAATACACATCCATTTTCTTGAGTTTCTTTGCAGTTTCTTTGCCTTTAGGAGGGTATTATTTCCTTGTTGCACATGATCTACTGCACTTGAAACCTGATGCGAGAACGGGGAAAAACAAGTTTGAACACAAACATAACTCATGATCAAATTCGTCATTTTAAGTATAAATTTTGCATTCCCTATCAGAGACTATTTTGACCAACATCTGATCGAAAATGAATAGGTTCATCTCGTCGACCAACTTTTTTAGAGATCAAGATGATACTTCTCAATTTTCACTGACCAACCAGGTTTGCATATTTGTACTCAAACACGAGTTTAGAACTTGACTTTTTTTTTTTTTTTGGTTAATTCAATGACGATGGCGCGTTATGCGCAAAGTGATGAAAAATACCTGTGATTCTATGTTGTCAAGCATGTCTCCTTGTGCATCAACTAACACTGCAATATCCATAAATATCTGCCAAGACATTAAAGCTACTATCACTTTAGAGGAAACAGTATGAAATCTCAACCAATGTAGTTAAGCACAGATCTTAAGTAGGATAAGTTGGCTTGTGAAAGATCATAAAATTCGGATCGTTAGCACGGCACATAAGATCGTACTGAAGGGAAAAATGGTAATTTCATATATATTCACACACATACACAAAAACATGAAAATTATAACTCAGGCCCAACACTTTTTTTACGATCTTGCTTTAAAAAGCTCGTTCCTGACCACACCAGTGAAGAAAATGATCTTTCTCTAATCGTAGCACTCTCAGGCATCCTTGGCTTGTAAGTTGTAAGATCTTATGATCTTACAATCAACACTCAATCTTGACTACACCGATCTCAACTGTAGCAATGATTGATTACATGCATGCGTAACAAATTGTGTATTTGCTAAAATCTACTACATGGATTTCTAGATTAACTGTTAAAATGTCACACCATTCTAACTTAATTTGTTGAGGTACGCCAAATATGTATGACAGTCAAATTAATTGAATGAACTGATTAAATACCTGTTGCAAATCAAGAAGTTTCCTCTCAACATCTCTGACTGCTTCGTGTCGTTCATGAATTTCCGCGAGGGTGTCCATTATCTACGAATGATAACTCAAATGCGTGAGATATAACTTTACATGGTAGATTCAACTCTTCTTAAAAATTTCTCAAGAAAAAGTAAAGAGGGATAAACCTGGCCTCGTCCTTGTTCCTGAATTGCTTTCTGGAAAATTTGTTCACTGTCTCCAGTCTCAATTAATCTGTCAATTGTCTGTACATTGTTAAATGATTAGAAGAAAAACTTCAAAAGCACAATTTTTTCCATGAATGAAAATTCAGTTAAAAAATTACCTCCTCATCAGCTTGTTTGCCCGTTACTGACAATCACAAAAACCAGAGAATATATAAAATTAATATTACTAACCCAAAGTTAAGGTAAAAAAAAAACCCAATGGCGTCAAATTGAATAAAAAAAGTAAGGAACTCAAACCTGTAAATACACGTCTCTCAACAACCTCGCGATATTCTTCATGGATGGATTCTCTCAGAATCTGAAAAGATTTTGACAAATAAAGCAATTAAGTTGATTATTAGGAAACTCAAAAAACAATTTCTCAAACAAGAAATTCGAGACAAACATACCTGAAATTCAGCCATCTTGTCCTTCAGTTTCTTTTTCAAGGAACTACAGAATTATAATACAAAAAACAAGGTCAGATGAGTTTGGTTCAATTAAAAAAAGCACTAAGCCAATAAGAATCATAAAAACATTTTGAAGCCTAAATGTGTAATCCCTGTTTGAGGAAAAATCTCAGGTTTAGTCATCTTGATCTGTGTACATTTATGTTTCCAACTTTATTTATTTCGGTTAATGTGAGATTAAGGGATTCAAGGTTTAGTAATAAAAAATTTCTGGGAGGTACGACACAATAAAAATTATAGATAAAAAAGATGGATAATTACTGACACTGTCGTTGCTGTTCTTGACCGGTCAACAGCTGATCCTTTTCCACAACCAGGCTTCTGCCTATTAGCCAAATTCTACGACGCATAAGGGAGTAAGGGACGACGTCAAGGAGTAAATAACAATGATTCTAAGTATTGAACAAAACAATGGAATATTTTCAGTAGAGATCTTACCTCTTTGTCCAGCTCTTCAACCTTGGTCTTTAAGTGATGTGCAGTTTTCTTAACTTCATCAACATCTTTCTCCATTCTCTGCTTTATATCTTTAGACATGAAATCAAGTAGAATTAATTAATTTAACACTCATTAACTTCATTTATAGCCACAGAACACTTATAAGAAAACTATTTGTTTATCAACTGCATGTACATTTACTTTACTTTAAATTTATGAATTTTTATTACAAATTTCAATATTCGTATACAACTAACATTGCTTTAAGTGTTGAAGGACTCATAAGAGGAGTATCTATTTTCACGTTTCTAGGTAAAAGATAATGAAACATAAAAAAATGGTCGAAAAAAGATTAAACAATATCGTACTGACCTTTCATAGCAGGAGCTTTGGAAACACCTTTGGACTCTTCATGGGCGTCCTGCATACAGATTTTTATAAAAATGGTTAGAAGTGAAGACAAATAAAAACAAGTTTCGTTTCAACCAATAAATGTTTCAATTTACCTGGAGCTTTCTCAAAAGGTTATCCAGCTTAGCATATTGTTTATCAAGCTCTTGAACCTATTGAACAATTAAAGCATAGGGACATTCAGTGAGTTAGGCAAAAACAATTCAAAATGAGTTTTAAAACCATCTACCATTTTTGCAAAATAGTTTGACTAATGAATAGGAATAAAATAACTAATGAAGACAAGCTAAATAAGGCTTTTTTTCATCAGGTGAATAAAGATGAACACCTTTTTGAAGAAGTTTTCCAAGCCAAGCTCTCCTGAATTCCTTCCATAGTCTCCCAACTCAACGTCACCACCTCCACGTCCTTGGCCACGGGGGATATCAAATGACTCCTGGAAAAAGAAACGTCAAATTAATATATATTGCTATCCTAGTTAAACTATCGACGTCTTTATTGCAACTACACCCCAATATTTGATGCTTGTAAAATTGAAAGCATGACCAACAGAATAAATATTCTATTTCGACAACTGTCTAGTGATCTCACTTCCAGACGATTTTAGCGCTACTATGGTTTATTTAGTGAAAGGTATTACCAAGACCTAAAATGGTATGAATACTGTTCTTTGAACTTTCTTCAGTGCACATGCATTCTGCATCTGCCCTCTTAGCATAGTCTATGGAAGTACTTACTTCACACTCAAAACTTATGAAGCACTGACACAGACACGTCGACATTAGTAAGAGAAAATGGATGTGATTGCATAATTCAGGGTCATAAATCTAATTTCATTTAATACAATTATATTGAAAATTAATAATGGCAAACACAGTTTCGGTAAATATTTCATGAACTTTGTACATAATACCAAAAAGGGTCATAGTTCAGAATATCACGAGTTATTGTTTTACCAAAAATGTCCACTAATAAGTTAATAACCCAAATTTGGACTCTGCTTACCACTAACCTTCTCTAATTGTGACAATAAGAGGCTAGAGGGAAAGGATTTGAATTCAAATCCATTGTAAAACTATTATTTAATTCTTATTCTATACAATCCCATACAATTGTTAACAAAACAATAATTAAAACCAAGCGGATACTTAAATCTAGATTAACTTAACTGCCACTATTCATGGAAATACTTATTATAGTTTTTATTTCTCCCTCTAGCTTTTTTAATAAACCAAACAAATCTCAAAACCAATGTTTAAAAAAATCAAACCAGACATTAAATCGGACATCTTAAGATTAAACTGATTTGAAACAGCTCAAAATGGAACAAAAACGCAGTCAAATAGCTCAAATAACCAAACCATATACATATCGGTTCACAACTCAACTCGTTTAACCGTCTGATACATTTTCAGTTTTGAAAAGTTTCTCAAAACACCGATTCAACACAAAACATTAAACCTTACAAAAAAATCAACGCGCATTCCAAAACAGAAACATCTAAAAATTGATAAAAACTATATAAAATAGCTCAAATAACCAAACCTTAGACATTGTCAGTTCACAGTTCAACTCATTTAACCAACCATCTGATTCGATTCAAGTTATAAAAACTTGCTCTAAACACCAAACCAATACAAAAACATCAAACCTTACATAAAAATCAATGCACATTCCAAAACAGAAACATCTAAAAGTTGATAAAACTATAAAACAGCTCAAATAACCATATCGTAGACATTGTCGGTTCACAGTTCAACTTGTTTAACCATCTGATTCCGTTCAATTTTCAAAACTTGCTCTAAACACCGATTCAATACAAAAACATCAAACCTTACATAAAATGATAAAACTCAGCTCACATCCCAAAACAGAAACATCTAAAATTTGATAAAACTATAAAATAATACACATAGTAATCAAATTTTATCCTGAAATATCCACCAATATCAACCAGCATCTAAATCCAACTACAATGCAGTATACTCATATATAAATCTCTCTCCTACCCTAAAAATTCATCAATATTTTCCAAATCCAATTTCTTGGCAAACAAGCATTACAGAAAACGAAAACAAAAACTATTCAAATCCAAAAACAAAGACTAATACAAATCATCATGCAAAAACCTAGATCTGAAAAAACCCTAAAAAGTACAAAAATTGAATCAAGTACTAAATCAAAATTATAAAAAAAAAAACGGAAAATTGGAAATTACCGTAAGAAGATCGTTCATTGTTGAAGAAAATGTAGGAGAATTGAAGGGAAAAAAACAGAATGTGAGAGGAAAAGGGAAAAGGAATTGGAGCTGGTTAAGACCTGGTTATCTTTAACAAAAGAAACCAGGCCTTAGAGAAGAAACAAACTCAGAGAGAATGAACGTGATTTTTCCTTTTATTTTTTTATTTTATTTGTTTATTTCCGTTTTTGAATTTTTAACTTATTTTTTATTTCTTTCTTTAATAATTTTTTGTGTGACACGTAAAGTTTAGAAATAGTAACTCCAACGTTGACAAGCTGGAAAATAGCGAAAATTGGTAGATAAGTTATGTTTGCTTTTAATTATTTTTTTAAATATCATGTGAGATTGTGATTGAAAATTGTTATTTCTCTGTGAATTAAATATTTAGTTTTTTTATAAAGTAATATTTTGAAATTTGACACACGTCATTGATTTAAAAAGTGAAATTGCGAATTTATTATTGGATGTTCCTCTATTATTATTATTATTATTTTAAAACAAATCAAATTTATTGATTGAAAAAATTTAGCTATATCTATCTTTAATATATAAAAGACAAAATTTAATTTTTGGTGTAACGGTGGTTTGCGCACTTCTTTCGTTCAATTTTAAAAATAAAAAAGTTAAAATAAAATAAAAAATAAATCTATAAAAAAATTTTACTCATTTTTTAAATTCACAGTTGTCGCGCACAAATTTCATTTCTCTAGAACAATGTTGGAAATTTTGATTCTTTTACCGAAAAGTTCAAAATCAGTACTTTGTTTACCGTAAATGTTTAAATTTCTAAGATTTTATATCGAAAATTTCAAAATTTCCAATATTAATAAAAATATTTTAATCGAAAATTTCAAAATTTTAAATATAAAATTACCTAGAAATTTTCAGAAATTTTAAAATTTCTAATAGTTATAAAAACTTTATTTTTTACCGGAAATTTCAGAATTTCCGATAGCTATAAAAAATTTATTTTTTATCAGAAATTTCATAATTTCCGATAATTATAAAAACTTTATTTTTTATCGAAAATTTTAGAATTACCAGTAGTTACTAATTTTTTTTCACCATGCAAAATACGAAATAGTTCAAAATCTTGATTTAATGTGTTGATCCTAACTTGTTTGACATCATTAGTACTCTCATGGACAACATCTAATGCGTCTCACATAGTTTTGGCGATCTCATAATGAGAAAGGTGATAATACTCATCAACACCTAAAGCGAATATGAGAATATTTTTCGCTTTCCAATCATGAAACTGCAATTTCCAATCATTAGCATCTCATTACGCTTTCAGTTTAGGTAATGTAACACCTTCATTATTGGTCACAGTTATTTCATTCGGACCATTTTGAATGGGGTCCCATATACCTTTGTCAATGGAGTTGACATGAATACGCATACAAGTTTTCCAATAGCCATAATTTTCGATGGTGAAAATTGGTGCTCTATTATACGCTCCCTTAAGTTCGGTAGTCATTCTTCTAAAAAGTAAATCTTAAGCACGAAATAGATCGGAGCTCGTGATAACACTTGTTAGATGATAGGCTTCGATCTAGGGAGGAGGTGAATAAATCACAAATTTAACAATAAACTTTTGACAAAAATAATTTTTAAAAGTTTTATGGCATGACGGAAACAACCTGAGTCGAATCGTCTAACCGGACCTACTATCAAAAAGCTCGGATATGCATAAAGTTACACAATCGAATGATAATGAACACAAATTATTCAACAACGATTAATCACAAACCAATTATATGCTAAGATACATGTAGAGCTTATTTTCAATTATCAAAAACTAAATAAAAGCAATAGAGACAATTTATCGAACACCTTGTTTGCAATCGAAAATGTTTGGAAATTTAATTTGTTTTGTTGATGTTAAAATCAATCAATATCAAAGTGATTATGATTATATCAATAAACTATAATTCAAAACGTAATCAAAAAGTTTATATCCAAACGAATTGATCCAAACAACAAAAGTTCGATAATTTGTAAAAACAAAAATTAAAAAGAGAGAGAGGGAGATAAGGATTTGTTTAGGCAGTAGTTCCTCAATCATCCTCGATATGAGTACGTCTGCCATCAATTTGAATTTGAATTAAGATAGTTGTAATTAACCTTACTTTGCAAACAATGTATATACAAGAGAGGAAGAACTCTAACCCTACAAACTCTATGGTTTGTTGTTGATTCTACCACCTCCAAAAACCCTTTGTTAAAGTCTAATCAAGTCACCAATAATGCTACTTCAATCCACTAGTTCTTGTTACTACTTTCTAAGATCTCTCGTTTCAAGGTTTTCAATCGGTCAAATTAATCCTAAGCACGCACTTGTTAAACTCAAGATTCACGAACACGATTCACTGCCTCACGCTACTCCCTTGCAAGGTACCACCTACCTGTCCCAAGGCCTTCACTCGATTGAATCCGTATTTACGTGATCTTGTCCAAAACCTCAAACTCTCAATGATCTTGAAGGAAAACCTCAACTTGGTTTTCTTATTTGAAACACACAAAGAACTCAACCCAATGTTCTCGGTTACACTTGTAAGTTTATACACGGTCTCTAAGAGGGCATGAATTAGATTTATTAGACTTTTCTCAATTTGAAACATTAGCACTGGTTTTATTATTTTTTAGAAATGATATGAAAGTAAATATGCTGAAAAACAAATGCAGAAAGTAAAAGACACAACGATATATCCTGATTCCCCTCATAATCCGAGAGTACTCCAGTCCCCTCACTATCTGTGAGATATTTTCTACTATGTCAGATCTTTGTATAAGTCTTCCACCAATACCTATCCTACAATATTCTAACATAAGCAACACAATCAATAAGGACAATTCCCCTATGATTTTTACAAAGTGAACAAGAGAATAATCCTTCCTTATTCACTCTTTTGCTTCCAACAATCCTGGAAAGCAAGGAAATCACAACAATCTGAATTTTTACAAGTGTTTGAAATTGTATAACAATGTATATCAATTCCTAAAACTGATCTTCTCTCTTTCATAGAAATTCAAACGCAATACTCTCTAATTTTCAAAACAAGTGCCTTGTGACTTAATTTTTTGTTAAAAACTTACTGTATATATTCTCATTCATCCGGAGGGTCCCAAAGGGTGTTTGGGAGGAGCGGCGGCACATGACATCAACTTTTTAGGGGAACCAATTTTTTTTAACATATATATATATATATATATATATATATATATATATATATATATATATATATATATATATATATATATATATATATATATATATATATATATATATATATATATATATATATATATATATATATATATATATATATATATATATATATATATATATATATATATATATATATATATATATATATATATATATATATATATATATATATATATATATATATATATATATATATATATATATATATATATATATATATATATATATATATATATATATATATATATATATATATATATATATATATATATATATATATATATATATATATATATATATATATATATATATATATATATATATATATATATATATATAATGTGAGTTTTTTGGGTCGAACTCAATCTCTATTGAGGAATAGATTTCATGTATTTGAATAGGAGACAAGCATGAAGTCGAAGATGAATCGCATGTTGTGGTTGAAGGATACATATTGTAGTCGAAGTCTGTTCTAATACGTATTGTCGAAATGTTTGTCGAATTGGGCCTTTTGTTATGGATCCAATTGTTTAGTTAGCTTGAGGTGCAAGTTATGTAGTTAGTCTATATATAGGCTAAATCACTCAGGTTATCGAGTGAGGAAAATTGTGATATTCATTTGTAATCATTTGTAAACCTTATGAGAAAGTGAATAGTAAACAAGTTTGCACAAATCCTTCTTCTTCTTTCTTCTTTATCCTATCTTTTCTCTTTCTTTGTTCTAACCATTTTTATTGTTCACCCAAGTACTTCGTTTCTCAATCTTGGTTTGTTGAAAGGTATCGTTTGTGATCATAACAAACTGGTGCGATGAGCATGGAGAAGATGTCGTCGGCAAAGTTTAAAGTTAAGAAGTTCACTGGAGTTAATGATTTCGGGTTATGGCGTTTGAAGATGCGAGCCCTTCTTGTTCAACAGGGTTTGCTAGAAGCCTTAAAGTGATGAGATGCCACAGGTGCTACATTGACGAAGAAGGAAAAGACAATGATGATCGAGAAAGCCCACGGTGCAATTGTTCTGAGTTTTGGTGATAAATTTCTCAGGCAGGTTTCGAAGGAGAAGACAACATCTAGTGTTTGGCTGAAACTCGAAGGATTGTATATGACAAAATCCATGGTGAATCGTTTGTACTTGAAATAGGCTTTGTATTCATTCAAGATGACTGAAGATAAAGTGTTAATGGAGCAACTGGATACGTTGAGCAAGCTGATTCTTGATCTTGAAAATATTGATGTTACCATCAATGATGAAGATCAAGTGTTGTTATTGTTGTGTTCTTTACCCAAGTCATATGCTCACTTCAAAGAAACCTTCTTGCATGGAAGAGAGTCTCTGACCTTTGGAAAAGTTCAAGCAGCCTTGTATTCGAAGGATTTGAACAAAAGAAAGGAGCATAAACCATCATCGCCAGTTGACGAAGGGTTGTCCGTAAATGGGAGATCGTCGAAGAGAGATGGTAGGTTTGATAAGAAGAAAGGTAAAACTCAGAAGAATTATTATGGTGGTGATATTTCTGGAATTAAGTGTTATCACTGTAAGAAGGAGGGTCACACAAGAAAGGTGTGCCCCGAGTGCTTGAATAATCATGGAGGTTAGGACAATGGGAATGCAGCTATTGTGCAAGATGATTATGAATCATTTGATGTCCTTATGGTGTCGAGCAGTAACTCTTGCAAAGAGTGGATTATGGATTCTGGATGTACTTGGCATATGACTCTAAACAAGAATGTGTTTGAAGAATTATGTGATCAAAATGGTGGAT